ATGAGGTGTGTCCTCAATACTTCCATTTAAAAAATTAAACAAAAAGACTAGGAGACGAAACGTCGCGTTCGCGATCGCATTGAGCTTGAAAATTTGAATAACGAACGCGTGTTGCGCACGCGCCGGCTTTGGTACGACTGGTAAAGGCTTCCCGCCAAAAGCACGCAGAGATAGTGGTTGCAAGTAGCTGCAAAGATTCATTCATGAATGCGAATCTTATGCAATGCTCTTATTACTGAAGTTATAACAGGGACCATTGAATCGTTACTTGATCACGATCCCCGCTGGGGCATAAGCGGGTCATTTATTGTCCGATTGTTATAGAAAACAGCTGCATTGTTATATTATTATAACTGTTTAAAGTTGTTTATACAGCAGTTGCAACTTAAGTGTTATGACTTATTATGGTCTAATCGAATTAATTAAGATCGATGTTTTCTTTTATATTGTTGATGATGATTCGTATGATAATGTTAGTGTTAATGTATACAGCAAACCAGGATTAGATATTCCGCCTGCAGTTTCACCTGCATGATATTAATAAGATGTCCAGAATTTAAAAGACATCTGGGACTCACAGGGATGAATATAGGGTTTGCTAAAGAAATGAAGAAGGTTTGAAAAAGATAAATAAAATAGGTTAAAACTAAGTGCTGACAAATAAACAAACTGTTCAGTAGTACCGCGTTTTTCAATCAAGAGGATACTTAGTGGAAATATACTAACAATTATATTTTTCCTTTTTAGTTTGAATCGAGATCTCAATGTCTCATTAAAGTGCATTAAATACTCGAATATAGATAGATACCTACTCACTGACAATATGCAATATGTTTTGACATTAATTAAGACCTTATTTATATAACTTTTTGCTGTATTGAAATTCCCCAAATACAAATAGTGTTTATTAACTTGTACATTTTTACCTGTCCAAGTACTCAATAACTTTTTGACTTTAAAATGTAAATATTACGTCATTAACGTACTTCCCCCTGCTTATAGATATAAGTTATAACAAATCCCACGCTTGTTAATATAAACTACGAATTTTATTTCATAATTATTATAATTAAAGGAAATACGTTAAGATTTTTTTATTTAACAGTGGACCACATTTTGCAGGATATGTCTACTAATAAAATTATTGTAGCCTTTAATATATTTCGATTAATATTATAAATTAGACACAAACGTTCGTTTGTTTGTTTGTTACCTTTTTGAGATTAATCTATACTACTGACCTTCTGGAAATATTGTATTCCTATAGTAAGAGATTTATTGGATGCGTAGAGCTGAAGACAGCGCTTAGTGGCGTTTCATTAGAGACGCCTATATCCAGCAGTGTCCAGAAATAAGCTAATGATAACAGATAGTAGATAGAACGCAGAAGGACATACGTTAAATTCACGCGGACGAAATCGTGGAAATAATTTTTTTTTAAACTGTCAAACACCAAGCGGTCACCGGAGACCGCAACCTATTGTTCTATAATTGTGTCTACAAAACCGGTACTCGACGAGTTAAGGGGGTAAATCATCGAATGACTGCTCGCTCCCTTCTGGTTGAGGCGGGAGGGAGTGTAAGACTCTTACTGGCTAAAAACCACCTCATTCCTTCTCCTGCACGTCGATCCGGAGCCCCGGTTATCCGTTAGGTTCTCCGCGACTCAAATCGTGGGTATAAGCTAGTTTTATACGAGACTATGTAAAGTGATTAAGGAAATGAGAAACGTAAAAACTGTGAGTTATGAGTTTTTATTTCTTAATAACTTAATCCCATATTATTCGGTTGTAAAAATGTGAAAGCCTTTGATTTAGTTCCGGATGTTTGTTACCTAATCGTTCCTTAAATATTGAATTAATTTGAATGACTAATTATGTCTGTAATACAAAGTAGGATAGACCTACATTGATATGTTCCTTTATTTTTAGATAATAAATAATTATTTATTGCATGAATGTATATATCGATCTAAATTGTAGCACTAACGACATGTAGGGTGTAGGTTCTATGTACATTACACAATTTAAATAACATTAGTTTATATATAAAAAGACGCATCTTCTGCGTCCATCGTATGTAACGTGTGCTTACGTTACACGTATAAAAATCCCAAATATCCTATCTAGTATGATGTGACTACTTAGTTTCCTTAAACAAAAATATAGCAAATAAAAATATGTTTTAAAAACGATCACGGTGCCGGTCAAAATGATCACGAACATAACTTTTTTTTAAATAGAAGGAAGACTGTATATTGGTTAATCCATTTGATGGACTTTTTTTGTCACAAGCAATTATGACTCATAGGAAAATGAACTTTAAGTTTAGATTTAACTATTTAAAAACAAATGAGTCAATACTGGATAACAATCAGTTGGAATACACTTTGTATTTACTGCTGTACATGAAAAGATACTAAGAAGTACACGTACACTTACGTCATATACCTAAGTAATTCATTCCTAATTGGTATGGGCACCTGTTGTTAGTCACCTTGTGTTCACGTGTAACTGAAATAGAACAAGAACTGAAAGTAACTTCATATTTTATTCTTCGAAAGGCTAAGAGAAGTAACTACGAAACTACATACATTCAGTCAAAAAAGTATCGGGAATGGATGATTTGTTTATGGTTCCAAATTAAAATTTTTGGTTTTTTTGTAATTGTTAGATTGGCACAACTGTTTTCCATTTTCCATCTGTTATTTATCTATATTTATATCTATATCTATACTAATATTATAAAGAGGAAAGATTTGTATCTATTTTTGTATGTTTGTAATGAATAGGCTCAAAAATTACTGGGCCGATTTATAAAATTTTTTCACCAATAGAATGCTACATTCTTCCAATTTGACATAGGCTACATTTCATTTTGAAAAAAATTAGGGATCCTTGGTAAAATTTGAACAATGTAACCGATAGAACAAAATAATGTACAACAATATTGAAGAACATCATAATGTCTACAAAAAACTCTTTGTCTAAATTGTAGTTATGTCACTACAACAATCCAAATTTCCAAAAATAAATAATTGTCTACCCCGTGCGAAGCCGGGACGGGCTGCTAGTATTAAATACAGTGCTGGTTTTAGTAATATCATATATAGTGTGTATTGCGAATTTCACAATCGACAAAAATATCGAACAAAGAGTTTGTCTTAAATTTTGCATCGGCAATGGAATTTCGTGTTCGGAGTCACTGAAAATGGTACAGAAGGCTTACGGTGAATCGACTTTATAAAAAACTCAACAAATACCACCTAGCAACCACCATATTCACCAGATATGGCTCCTGCTGGCTTTTTTCTTTTTCCTAAACTCAAATTACCATTTCGTGGCACCCGTTTTCAATCGATAGAAGACATAAAGGAGAATTCGGATTACAGATTTTAGTCGGAACGATTACTATGTGCGGCAAGCAAATTTTAAAAAATGTTCGAATGCCACGTTCTTTCTTTTCGAAAATAAAGGAATGTTTTCTTTGAGTAAAATTTTCTATCTAAAGTATTAGGAGTAGGTACTTTCCCTTCAGGTGGCATTACAAAATTCCACCCTGTGTAGCACCTACATTTATCCCGTTACTAATGTTTTAGGGGACAAACCTGACGTCATTTTAGACTACACGATAACACTGAGACTAGTGAGACGTAATACATTATTGGACTGAAGAATCATACCAGGGGTTCAGTAACCTTTTGACCTCAGATAGTCACAGAATAAAAAGTTTTGAAGGAAAAAAATCTTTCATAATATTTTCTTGCTGACAATGTAAAAACCGTTGTGTGAATGTCAAAAAATCATTTTGTGTAACCAGGATAATGTATATGTAGATGTATATCCTATCTATGTATTTATATGCTAATGGATATATACAAATAAAATGTTCATAAATTAAATTACATAATTAGGTTTCGCGTTCGATCACGAGATACCTAGACTAAAACAACTAAAGTAACTAGACAATGTTATTTTTGTTCGGGCATGAAGCTTCGATGTTATTATGTTTTTACAGAAACCTATGAATTTAACAGCTTCTTAAATACTATTTGATGATGATCAATTCGGCCAATATCAACAACAATAATAATAGGTACGTGTCACAATACTGACATCTATCATCAGCGAGCGAAAATTCATGTAGAGACCAATAGTTCTATGTAACAACATATTGTAAATTAACGTATTGAATCATTTTGTTTGCAGTGCGTCAGGTGTAAGGTAGATGGCGTTAGTGAGCCTCACGGAATAAACAATGTATAAAAATCATGAATCAATAAAGGTAGAGCGCCTGAAAGTAAATCTTCCAAGATTTACTTGATAGTGTACAGGCAAGTGTACCTAACATCTGGGTACTTTTTTAATTTGTAAGTTAGGCAAAGTATTATTAGTTTTTTTTGTTTTTCGTAATTTCTTAGTAATAATGTTTACGGAATTCGTAACTGTAGTAAAGTAACATTTACTATACGAGACCTGGCAAAAAGTGGGTCAGTACAAATTTACTAATATGCACCATAACCTTTAGGGAGGAAAATGTCATTGTTATTTGTTAAATCAAATTATTGAAATAAAGCTGTATATTTTTAAGGAAAGTATATTTTGGGAAGCTTGATCATTAAAACTTTATGTTTTACAAGCTACTGATAAACATATTAGTGTTAGTTGATAAATATGATTATTGAAATAGTTCATGTCCAAAACATTTAAATCTGGAGCGATAATAAGACTAGACCTTTAAATAATTTGATAAGAATTAGTAAGGATGGGGATTTTCTTTTTTTTTTCATGCAAACTATTTAATCGATGGGGCTAACAGATAAATATAATGATCTAAATGAATCATCTGCATTAATAACAAAACGTCACGCCATCATCTTTTCCCAGAAGGGATAGGCAGACGTGCATATTACAGCAATTAATTCCACTACACAATGTAACAATTTATGTTATGAGTCTCGTATAATAGGGGGTGAGCCTATTCACGGGTACAATTCTAGACTCCGTGCTAATCTGCTGAGATTTTTTTAAACAACCCAGTAGTACGCGTTCATACTTTTATCATATGAATGCGATCTAACTAGACAACCACTATCATGTTTTCTAAGTTTTTAAATATAGTTCTGATTCATTACGTTACTGGTTTGAAAACAAAAATCAATCAGATTTGTACATCTGTTGATGAATCACACGAATATATTACCATTTGGTAACAAAGTTATGCAGATTTTATGGATTGTCATTATTTTTGATGGCTATTGATAGAAATATTAACATACACCTAGTCCTACCTGACATGGGAACAAAACCTGTGCCTCTGTGTTATTTACTATTGGACAAATCCATCTTTTTTTTAATTGGAATAATACTAATGTTAATACAAAGTTTTTTGCAAAGACGTTAATAATGAAACACACTGTAGGTATATCTTTTTCGAATAAATTTTTTATTATGTGTCTTTTTTACATTTAAACATATTATTATACAATTTGCTATGACATGTGTCTACGTATGTTCTTTCTATGAACTTAACATGCTACTGATAGTGGTTTTTGGTGATCACTACTATATGGCAGTTACATGGCAGTGTACTACGTTAAACAAAGTTAAAATTACAGTTAATAGTAATACTTTCAGAGACTTATAACAAATCTAGCCTAAAATTAATAGTTAATTATAGTAAAGCTCTAAAAATAAGCCAATGAGGCCTTGCCTCTTGAAACTAAAAGAGATTTTGTGAAGATCAGGTCTAATGTAGCTTAAATGATTTGAGACGTACTAACGCTTTTTTGATTCAACAGGATAATACAACCATTTGAATTCATAGCCTTTAAGGCCGTACTTCTCGTCCTTTTCAGTTTCAGGTTTAGGAACTTCTTCGGACAATAAGTCGAGAACCTCCTGTGAAACTGTTGGATGGAAACCTGTATCATCAGCTACATAGTCAATCCTAGTTCGGACACCGTTCCTTCCAGTTACATAATAATATCCCTTTTTGACTCCATTTGTATAGCCCTCCTCAAAGTGAGCGTGGAAACCAACTGTGTAGTTGAATGTGTACAAGAGCTGTGTCATATCACCTTGAGTTAGACCCGGTGGCAATCCTTTTTGTTCACCAGGCCGGAGTGCGTGAATGTCAGTGTTCTTATCAACTATTTGCATTTGGGCTGAAAATAGCGTAGGCTTAGCAGAACCAGGCTGTTCATTCGCAGACCCAGGTCCTCGTGGACCATTAGATACTGAGCCAACTTGTTGTTCAGGGTTATATTGCTTTGAGGTTCTACCGGCAGGAGATGCCCCTGCAATTCCTCCTTGAGCATAAGAACTTGGTCCAGCAGATGGGTAATTTGAACCAGTAGCTCCATTAAGTTGAGGGCCTGCTGAAGCTGCGTTTTGCTGGGGATTTTGAAAACCACCATTTTGCTGAGGATTTGAAAAACCTCCATTTTGCTGAGGACTTCCAGAAGCTCCATTATAACCACCGAATAAAGAGCTTTGTTCTCCTGAAAATGTTTGTCCTGTTGTTCCTTCAGTATTCTGACTCGCGGGTAGAGAACCTCCTGCTTCTGAGAATCTATTGGCAGTATTGGGAGCTCCTGATACCCCTTGACTTGATCCTTGATAGGTTTGTCCTCCTGGGCCTGGTTGAGCAGCAAATGTTGACACAGCGTCTGGGGCGACGAGTCCCTGTTGGGGATAGATTGGTTTACCTGACGGGTAGTTTTGTTGACCGCCCTGAGAACCATATGACGGATTACTTTGTGCATTACTTTGACCTGGTGATGAAACGGAAGGCTGCTGATTTTGAGGACTAGAACCTATTGCACCGTAATGGCTTGGAGAATTAATGTTGTTATTATTCGAAACTTGGTTATATGCTGGTGGTGGGGCACGCGTAGTGGTCGTTGGCAAACTGCATGATGAGCAAGATCTGCCAGGTGGTTCCAACGATATTGGTTTAAATGCTTTTGCGGGTTGTGGTGTTTGAACCACAGAAGATACCGCTGATGTTTGTACAGATGCTGGTGGTAAAGGTAGAGCATGGCCTTGTCTTGCTGAAGTAGGCGATAGCGAACCCGAGGCGGCAGCTGGAATGGATATAAATGAAATTTTAATTTATCAGCAGGTAGTATGTTGTATAAGATAATTACATTAACTAAGCAAACAATCAAAATTATCTTGTTTCATCGACCTTATTTTACAGCAAATACCATTTATAAACTTACATGATTTTAAATGAATATTTTTCATGGATAATATTTTGAAGCGTCCCTCTTTATCTGTAGCGTACACAGTGACGTGGTAGACATCGTCGGCAGTGACGAAACCGAATTCCCCCATGATGATCCCATCTTTATCTGAAAATATAGAAGTGGTCTATGTTAGAATGATAACCAACATTTGTGTTATTTTTTGCGTTTTTGTTTGCGCATAGAAAATTAGCATTTCTCCATTATAAGGATTCTGACATTTTGTTTATAACAGGTATTTACAATATGATGATTAATAAAATTGAGTATTTATAAGAACACGTGAGGATTTTGTGACCTTGTAACATTGTCTATTAAAACGATCTGGAGAAACTTTGAGATACCTGGTTTTTCAAGCGTGTTGAGATCGATCGAGAATTAATTTACTAGGAAATGAATATTTAAACCATACGTTATACATATGTGTCAAGATTATTATATTATCAGAAACTGAATTACGAATATTGTGTGAACAAAAAAAGCCATAACATAAAATATTGCGATTTGCACGTGACACATTCAGAAAAGTATCGAATTGCCGTTGAATCTTTTATAAAAATCGGCGAGTATAAATAAATAATTAAGAATATAAGTAGTACTTATAATTTCTTAATTAGGAAGATAAAATTGACATTTATTTCTTTTAAATGCAGTTTGGCACCATTTTTCATATGAATTTAAGTGTAATTAATTCAATCTTTATTGCATGTTTTCCATTAATAGTGGTCTAAATTTAACGTAACTTGGATGAAAAATGTTAAAATTATACAAGACATTTTCGGAACATTGCCTTTTATAGAATTTGTATTATTTTTCTGCTTTTTTCGAAGGAGATTAGAGAGACAGAACTGGAACAAACATTTTTATATGTTGACCCAGCAAACTTTGTTTCGCCTACATTTTTTTTCTTACGTCTTAATCTTTCTCAGACCAAAATTACCAAAATAGGTTCAGCCTTTCTCGAGTTTTAGCGAAGACTAACGAATGGATTTTAAATTTTAATTATAGACATAGTATATTATATATATAGTATATAATATTTCTACATTTATGTAAAACTGAAAGCCTGTAGGTCGTATACTCAAGTCGTAATCGTAGCCTGATTTATAATTTTCTTATTGTCACTAAAAATATTTACCTTTAGATTCATGCCTATGCTGTTGTCCATCGATCTTGAAACCGAATTCATACGGTCTATTCTCGTCAGTGTACTTGTCAGCACCATGGGCTTGAAGCACGAAGCATAGTATAATGCTTGCTGTTAGCCGCAGTCTTCGTGTGTGTTGCATCTGAAGCAGAAAATAAAATTTATGAACTTTTTAAACTTAAGATATAGTTGATACAGTAACATCATGTACTAAACCAGTACTGAACGAGTAAAAAGATAAAAAAAACTTTATTCCACGCTAAAAACAGTGACATGTACAGATATGTTCATGTCCCAAGTCTACCGTGAAATGAGACCAGTTCAGCATATGCCAGACAAAGCCTTGCGCTGGTATTCTACTGGATCCTTAAGTGATGCACGGACGAGCAAGCCACCAATTGAACATCAACAATTTGCAGTAGGTATTTAATTGTAGGTTGTATTTAAAAATAGACCTATCTCTGTTATTAAAAAAAGTATTTGTGGGGACAGCAAGGAGGATGGTATTGATGGTATACAACAGCACGTTCATAACTGTTTTCATAACAAATGTTAGTTATACACAAGAGTATTAATAAGTATGTATATTCGATATAAACAAATAACAAAGTGCCAGTGTTCCTAAAAATAATATAGAAAAACATAGAAACTAATTTAAATAATAATCCCTTCGGTCAACAACCGAGTGATCACTATCAAAACACGTTTAGGTATATGGAAAAATATTTTATGGTTAAATTAATAGATCCAAGAGTTTGTAGTTACCTTGACAAATGCAGTAGTATACCTCTAGTTGCTATTGAATTAGATAAATAATTACGTCAATGAGTACCGTAAAATTTTTCACATTCCGAATACAACAGAAGCTCCTTGGCATTTAATATCAATACACTTACGTTTAATAAGTGTTAAGTATTAGCTTCTTATACATTATGTCATTTGTTAAAACGGAACTTTATGTCAAGGATATACAACACATATACCCATACCCATCCTTACTAAGTTTCGCGTAAATCATGCCCGTAGTAAGAACTACTAAATAGGTGACGTAATTTTAAACTTGTCAAATAAAATAGCACTAAAGTAAATTATAAAATATTGCTTCTTAAGCCCACACCTGTTGTTTTACATGTTACACGAGTATTTCGACTTATATGGGATTTTGAACCTTATATTTTGGTTTTAAGGTCACCTTTGTTTACCCTTAATTAAGGTTTATAATTAATTAGTGGACAAAATGAAACTATGTACCGCACTTAACGTTAATTTATAGATGATGTCCAATAATTAATTTAAATGGAGTCTTTCCTTATTAATTAAGTGCTTATAAATATTAAACAACGCTTCTATATTACAAAAATATTTTACTTTAGAAAAATTGCTTTGGAACAACATTTCTACTTTTATTAACTCAGTTTTGATTATGAATTAGAAAAATAATAGACGGTTTTTTTTTAATTATTTCATTTAGATCGTTTTGTAGAATTTACGTGAAGCACTAATAAACGTACAACAATATTGTGACAAATTTTTGAATTTACAATACAAGTTTTATGATCATCAACAGCTTATAAATGCCCACTGCTGAGCAAAGCCTCTTCTCACAGGGCGAAGGTTTGAGCATTAATCACCACGCTTGCTCAATGCGGATTGGCGAATTTAAACTTATAATTAGAAATTATAAGTCCAGGTTTCCTCACGATGTTTTTCTTTCACCGTTTGTCAGTGGTGTCTAAATAATCTTAGAAAGTACATATAACTCGGAAAAGTCACATTGGTACTTGCCGTTGGTAGGTTTCGAACCCGCACCCTCATTCATGAGAAGCGGGCGTCTTAAACCTCCGGCCACCACGACTGTAAGTTTTATGATTAAATAATAGAATATATAAAAAAAATAAGTTTTACTTTTCACAGGTTATATTATGCACAGTGTACATGTTGCCGAGACAAACTTAATTCAAGAAACGTTTTGTAAAAATTTGCATACAGATACAATAACGATTAGTGTCTCTTATTGTAAAGTTCATACAAAATATCCTTATTAATTAACTAAGCAAAGACGGTCAGATCATTAGTAAACAGTCAATTTAGAATTTGACAAATATAACTAATTTCAAGTCTGGGATGTACTGAAGATTCTGCACAGTTCATATTGAATTCAGTAATTAATTTTACTTAGTATTTTAATAATAGCTAAACAAGACGATGACCTTAACATTTAAAATAAATACATTAGTATCCTGTGTTTTATTTAGAATATTGTTTTTTACATTTTCAACTTAAAAATTGCTTAGACATCTGCAATTAATTGAGCAAACACTGATTTCAAGTCAGGCGGAACTACTATATTGACATATGATAATTTTTTATCATAAGGATATACACCACCGTATTTGTTCAGTGAAATAACACGTTTGGTAAACTTTTTAGATAGGCTGACTAATATACGGATTTATAATTAACCGTCTGCAGCTGACGTGTAGTCCCACAGACACCGCGAAATACAAAATCACGTGTTTACCGTCATTTTTCAAATACGAGCATCACTGCTGCGAGTACCTTACTGTATAGTGCTCGCTATACTTTAATTCTACAAAAATATTTGCTGTTGAAATGGTGTCTGGTATAATATACACCTCAGTTGAATTGTAACAATTTAACCACGTCAGTTGCAGAGGGTTATGAATACATATGTAGGTATATTATAGTTACTAGTAAATTTTGGGATATTCTTTTTTCAAACGACTCCAGTGTTTTTCTTCAGATATTTTCAATCTAGGGTTTTCAAAGTAGGTATATATATTTTTTTGTGGGAGACTGCCGGTAAACGAGCAAATCGATCACTTGATGGTAAGCAATCGGAACCGCTTATGGATACTCGCAACACCAGAGGAGTGTTTGTGTTCAGTTTCGTTCAACTTCAGAGTCTATTGTAGAATATACAAAATACAAAAGAGAACTTTATTATAGTTAGTATCTAATTTGCTAGAATGGTCCTAAACTTTCCATCGCTATCTTTCGGAATTTTTGTTGTTTGTATTCTAAAAATATGTAATTTTATACCAAAAACTAACACAAATCATTGTAATAAATATTACAATCAAAATATAATAAAATATAGTAAGTTTAATATTAATTACACCGCGAACAAGTTAAAAAGGCAATAGCAAAATAATAAATGAGTTTAAAGCAAAACTAATTTATTAATAAAGCCGCGGGCCAATAAATATCCCAGTTAAGTTAATTTGACTCAAAGTATAAGCTATCAAGTTACATATTGGTATTTTTTAATTAATCTGCGTTAAATTAACGTGAACTCGAGATACATATCTATGTGAACTTAGACAGTTTATATAAATGTTTACATGAAGAAACCTGTCGCTAGGTCATCAACATGAATGATTAATTAACTCTCGACAGCTGTCGTATATTATAATTAGACGTCAATTAGTCAAGATGTTAGGAAGTCATGTTGTACGTATATGACGTGACGCCCGATTTTGTAACATGACTTGTTACAGTAGCCAGTGAAAGTGTTACATTTGACATCTTTAATGGAAAGTGATGATTGTTTACATTTTAGGTGTCGATTGTGTGAGCTCAAAATATCTGTATGATATGGAAAGCTTCTGATCAACTATCTCGTTTTATCATAATTGAAAAACATTTTTTGATATTTATTGTTAAACCACTATTCCGAGTTGTATTATGATGTTAGCATTATGTAAATATCATAAAAACAATAGATTGAATAAATATCACATTATTTTTTATTAACGTACGAATTGTGCCCGTTGATTTCTGGGTTAGCGGTACCTCGTAAAAACAGAATGCTTTTAATATAAAACATAACGTTCATTATTTTAGTATTTTAATTACCATCGAAATGAGTTTACGATATTTTTAAAGGTCCCGATATTAAAACCATTGTAAAAATCTAAATATGAATTAAAAAATTATTCAAATCCGTGTCAAAGTTTATTATCTGGTAGAAGGCGTTTATTGCTTGAAATATAAAAAAATAATTGTATATTTTAATGAATCTCGTGTGGACATTTGTTCATTATCGTAACAGAGCGGCAATGTGCCTGTCACAAGGATCCTTCTTCATTAAAAACTAAACAAGTTGGACAAGTTTAATTTTTTCATACTTTTGATGACATGATATTTATTAAGTACAAGTGAAATCGTGTAGCTTTACACCTCTAGGAAGATTTCATTAAAAATGTATGGCAGAAGAATTTTGACACCGTTTTGTGATATGTATGCAAACAACAGTTTTTATAGCTACATTAATGACGTGATTTAAAATATAGATCGTTTTGTAAGCTTCTGTTACAGATTAGGTTCGAAGATTTATGTGCATATCGACAAATGATACGGATTTTATAGTTTAATTTAGTGTTCTTATGAATGTATTTTAATTTAAATTAATGTTTTTATTAAGACGTTGATAATGATAATGGTCTCATTTACAAACGATAAGATTTATGAGAATGTATCTTGATTATTTAATTTTCATTTATATAAGCTTGTTACACTATAAATTATGTTTTCAGTGGATTTAAAATGCATGTTATAAATAGTGGTGACGCGATTCGTTTAGTTTAAGTGGTACTTTTATATGAGTTAAAAACTGTAAATGATATTATAGCAATTCGTTAAAAATCGATTAGTGTATATTCCTTCAATGTTTGTAATTTCTAAATTCATTCAGAATTGTTTATGGGTACTGTTCAGTATGTGATAAGACTACGTATTAGCGGTGAATCGGATCTAGAAGCAGTAGTCATAATACTTGTCAATTTCCTTGAGTAACAGGGATTATTCTTGAAGTCCTTAGAATATTGATTCCATAGAAGTGCGACAGAACCCTCTCAGTTTTTTTTAATTATGATGTGATTGTAGATCTATTAGTTCTATAAACTGTAGGTAATGAAGTTTTCACGTTTAGGTTTTACTAATGAGTATTTATGTAAATCTTAGTATCGACGGATGTATTACTACTTGTTTAAAGTCGGGGCGAGCCGCGGGCTATCGTAGTTACAGTTAGAAGTTTTATATGATTTTATTCATGTTTTTGGAACTTTACATCGAATTATTAGAAGGAAACCGTTAAAATCTCTTACATTTTTTTCCATTTATTACATCTGTTAACTTGGTAGTATTTTTATTATTTGATTTTGCGGATGTTATTAACACCTGCTGGGCTGGTTTTTATGTCAAATGTTTTTTATTTATTTTGCCAAAGACATAAATATAAGTAGAAATAATTTATGACATCAAACACGTGAAAGTGTGAGGATTTATATGAGATAAGGAGTTTCATTGTCATATTTTTATTGAGTGTGCGGTGGAAAATTTAAATTAATGTTAATCAGTATATTAAACATTATATATTATACAACATTAACATTTTTTCTAATACATGTACTAAACGTTTTATTTTCGTGTTATGATTTTTATTACCTTTATAATTTATATTTTATTGTATTTTATTATTTGCTTTACAATGCATAAGGCTTTGTTCATATAAGCTATAAATTCTGAGGTAGCAATAATATTGCGCTATTTATTATTATACCATTAATACTTAGCCACGATTAGTTGAGCACGACCATTGATTTGTGCACATTTTAAAATGGTTTTATCGGCCTTTACCTCATATGTCTTAAAATATGATACTAATAAAATGAATCTTTGCTAAGTGACTACTTATTTGCTAATATTTAGCTATTGAAAACTTACCACGGTATCTTTGGAATAGACAAATGGAAACTAACACTTCAATACTTCATTTAACTCGTCGAGTACCGTCATTATAGACACAATTATAGAACAATAGGTTGCGGTCACCGGTGACCGCTTGGTGTTTGACAGTTTAATGATCAAACAAGTAGGTGGAGACCTCTTGGATAAAACTATGTACAGTAACGTACCCTGGCAACAATTTTACTAACTTATTTTGGCAAACATGAAATAAGTTGACCATGAAATAATTACTTAAAAGTTCGTGAGGTCATCGGGTCAATGTGAAATATGGCGACGTCTATTATTCATTCAGAAACTAAAACGTGATAGTCTAGAGCGGTAGAAGTTGGCCGCAAAATGTATTAAAGATGTTAATTTTATGAACTTTGCAGTACCGTGTAAAAGATTAAATGATTAATATCCGGACAACTCAAACTTACACTTTTTGTTAGTTTGTTTCCATGGGCTTTGATACTATTTTTAAAGTACATACAGGTATATTCTTTGGTATCTAAAGATAATTAAACTTCAATGCAAAGCTTTTTAACGGAAGATCAGTATCGTATTAAATAATACCGAGTTAAGTCTTGAGTTTGAGTTTTAGGTGAAGCCATCAAAACAATAAGTTGTTTAAGACTCTTCTATTTTTCAATTAAGTTATAAAATATTGAATATATAGATGACTACGATTCCAATTATCCTCGTTGTAACAGGCTGTTTAAACTATTAAAGCTTTCAAATAAATAACTAGTTGCCAATTTTTAGAAATATTTATGCTTTTACTGCCAACCTACTTTTAAGTATCTTTACAAATAAGTTTACAGTTGTTGTTTACAAATTTACAATGTTTGTTTTATTTAACAATGAAATAGTGAAACACACAAGGAGGACACGGTCGTCAATATGTCACAGTAAGTTAACTCCCATACAATTAACATAAATAAATTTCAAATTTTACTATTTATGAGACATAAAGTTAATTACACATAAATTGCACTTGTACTTAATGGTTGTTGCACTTATAATACACTTGATAAAATTCAATTTTATCGCGTTATTTATGACTCGGAAGCGCTGAGATTCTTGCCGCGGCTCAAAAGTTTTATGGATGCTGAAAGCCTATCAGCTGTTTGAAGCGTTTAAATGATATCGAGATTTCAATTAACGTTAATTTTAAAAGGAAGAAAGGGCTGTCACTATTACGATAGAGGTACGGGTAAGGAGACACAGAAATAAGTATTTATAATCGTAAAATGTATGTAAATAGGTATTTAAAGAAATAAACGATTCAATTAAACTGTTTTGATGAGAGTTTATCTAAGTTATGAATTAAGAATTAGCGTAAAAGCTCTAATAGTTGCTAACCAATGTTTATAAACTAGATATTATTTTTAGCTTATTTAGAAGGCATTATTTACCACGAATTTTTACAATAGGTAGGTACTTCACTTCGCAAATAAAATTTTACAGGAAATTTCCTTTGTTCTTTTTATTTATAAAAATGTCATGCACCTATGTTGCATTAATTGTCACACTATTATCGACTTACCTTTTTTGGTCGTAATCTGTGTGTTAACTCGGGCCGTCTAGCGGCCTGTTGCGCAAGAGTTCGCACGAGACTGCGCCGATTCTTCGGTCTACGTAATTTATTAATACTTCTGGCTAGTACAGATAGGCACTGCGACAATCGATATCGTCACTATTCTACCTATGGGCATATTTTATTGCATCCTTCTGTTTCCGGACTCCACAATCGTGGTCTTATTGTCACGATTTGTCTTTAATTAGATGTAATTGTGATCTACGATGTCAAAGGATCATGTCTGGGCTAAAACGGTAGCTGTTGTTGCTAAGATATTAACAGCATGAATTGTGAAGCTTTAGCTGATCAATATCGTTTCTAATATGTTATGTAGAATTTCAAGGAAAGATTGGAGAGGTTAATTAAGTTCTACATCCCATGGTATGTCTTAATATCCGCTTTCACGTAATATCCACAAACTTTAGATAAGGTGGATATCAAGTACGGGAGAGCCATGCTTCGGCACGAATGGGCCGTCTCGACCGGAGTGATACCACGGCCTCACAAACCGAAGCGACACAACGCTTGCGTTGTGTTTCGTCGTGTGAGTGAGAGCCAATTACCCTAGTCTATTCGGGGATTCGGGAGACTATAATACCTAGTTTCCCGAATCCCCGAATACTCCACAATCCTCAAATTCCCAATTCCCAAAAGGCCGGTAATGCACTTGTGTGTGTGTTTCGGGTGTCAATGGGCGGCGCCGATTGCTTACCATCAGGGGATCCGTCTGCTCGTTTACCGGCTTATGCTATAAAAAAAAATTAATGTCGCAGGCATTTTCTCCCAGTCTGACCTTTGGGTAATGCAGAGAAGAGGTAATATTATTGTCATCATCCTGAAAGGAGCTCTAACCTGGACGAAATAGGAGGTGCTCCCGCAGCGAATATTTATTATGAAGAAGACTCAAAATGTGGAGGCTAGTGTCTTGTTGGTAATAAATTTTAATATGTGTTTATATTATATTATTATATCAAAATTACTCAAATAATAAAAAAATACTCAAATAAAGACGAAATGTAAATGTACATTGCTATAGAACCTCTAAGAGGAGATATTAATTTAGGCAACTTTGATACATCTACTCACATATACGTACTTACGAATTCGCCATACGTTATTCTAATCACTTTTTTTAAACATGTTTGTTTTGTCTCGTACAAAGCTGTGTATTGACTGTATATCTGCAATTAACTATCAGAATTTGTACTGTGTATTAGTAACTTAAGTATTTACTAACATTTACGCAATTGTATTCATAGTTCAATTAACTAAAATTATAAGGACATGTTTGATTGATTTCAGTTCGTTGGTCCCCCACTCAATGTGTTTATTTTATCACTTACCATGAGAGTGTTGTGAAGTACACGTAATATGTATTTGTCCAACTAATAGTTTGGTACTACAATAGTGATTAACATCTTGTCTAGGCTACTTGTTATTCGTCGGAAAATGCTATCTCTATTCTAGTTCTTTGCACAAAATTTTTCCTTAAACTCTGATCGATGTCTAATTTTGACTTATGCATATTTTTGTATATTCTAATGGCAACTGGAATAGATTAGATTTATGTAAAATTTCATGTATGTTTAGATGAAAAAAAATACACGAAGTAGTCAACATTTTCCTTATTATGATTAATTAATATCGAGCCTATACTTTAGGAGTTAGGGCTGATGTCGATTCGGAGTCGGCTCGAAGTGCAGGAGAATAAATGGGGTGGTTTTTAGTCAAAAAGAGTCTGACATTCCCTCCCGTCTCACCCAGGCTTGAGCAGTCATTCGAAGATTTTTCCCCCTTAAAAAAAACTTTAGGAGTTACCTATTCCTTTTCACTCAATGGGTAACGTTTTAGGAAACCGCAAATGATTGTAGACGTTTGCATCGGTTTGTTGGACTATCCTTAGCACGAGTTTAAATGTGGTTCAACTGGGTCGTAGAGGTCAGATGTCATATGATCACTACAAAACCAGAAAAACTTCAAGTTGAGAATGAATTAAATCATATAATTATGAATGATTCGTTCATGGTGACTATACATAGATAGGATATTGAATTAAATTAGTAGGTATTTTATTACTTATTCTAAAAATAATAATATCTGAATTTGTAAGTCGACAGGTACTCAGACACTAACGGTATAAATCATATTTTTTACATTTAGATTTACAGTTTTATTCTTTATTTAACTATATTATACTACTTCACATTTTAGTTTGTACTGCCAAAACGAGGAAAAGTATGGCAAGAGTATCGGTCTATGTATATTACCTACCAATTTGAATTAATATAACACGTGTTTTTGAATCGAATATACTGCTTCAAAACCTGCAGTATTTTGCACATGTAAATAATTAAGATCGGGTTGGTGATAGACATATGCAAATGAACATCATATCATACCGATTTAGCCTCACTTTAGCATCGTTATATATACCACAAAAAGCGGCTCATGATCTGTAATTTGCTAACATTTATATGTAGTAGTCTCAAATTACAATCGTCAATAAATTATATATACTTTATGATGATTAGCTTTGGATGACACTTCTGCTTTTTGTGTTTATAATAAAATAAATTTGTCACGATATTATATCCATTTATGATTATTTATGGCACTATTTAAGCTGCTATTATTGGTTTTCTTTTCGAATTCGTTCATTTAAGCTTATTTGAGGAATCGTTAAACTCATTAAAGTCTTGTATATCAACATATAGTTTTCGAGTTTTGTATATCAACATTGCTTGTAGTTTTTCCATATAAATAAATAAATAGATAAAGATAAGATTTATTGTATGTTTATTTAACTATAACTTTTAAAACTATCCTTGCAAATCAACTGTAGTTTTACGACTCACTTATATCAGTTTTTCACAATATTTCTCGTTAGTGATTGATTATTATAGCAACACATACCTTGGTTTTTCTATGAACCTCCAAGAAATGTCTCAAGATAGAAATAGTTTCAGGCAAAATAACTACGTAAACATATTCAACACAAGATTTGACACATCTGTCTGATGTACGAACAATTACTTACTACGGCTTTATTGAAACAAAAAACAACGTGTTTTGAATACAAATCATAATATTACCTAAATAATTTTGAAGTGTGGTCGTGCCTTATCATTAGTCTTAGTAGTTACCTAATGCAAAGCAAAGGATAAGTTTTTGTGCATAGTTTCAGTTTTAAAACGCCACGTTGTTAGAAGTTCCTGAATCCGAAAAATAATGATTTTTAACTACATCGTTGTATCCAAGGGCCAGTAGCCTAATGGTAGAAACGTAAGTGCGATAGAATAATAATGATTTATTATTCTATTTTCGTACATGTAAAATAATACCATCTAGCTTATAATACTAACTAACAATAGGTGCACATTATTTTGTCCACTCTTTCGAGGAATTAAAATTACAATAAATTATTATTGTTTGTAGTAAACATAAAACACTTTTGGTTAACGAAAAACAAAGCTTATACCCATAATTATTAGGTAAAATTTCATAAACGCAGTTGATCTTGAACATTAAAAAGAATATTCTAATTGATGAAGGTTATTTACTAAGTATCGACTGTTTAGCTTAATATTACCGCCATGATCAAGGTGATTTGCTCCTCAATGCATCGTAAGTGGGCTCTTGAAGAAATGTAGGAAGCGGTTCAATGCATTCGTAAATAGAAAATTTGATGTTTCAAGGAAATTTTGGAGCTCTTACAAGTACTTGTTTGTAATCCACTTTAGAATATTCTAGCCTTCCTATATTGTAGTGTGTACATTTAGTCTGGTTCGGTGTCTAGCGTGTATATAAATCAGCACGTTAATATAAAAATAATTTATTTGGTTTATGTGTATTTTTAACTAGCCGTGTGATAACGGCAAGATAAAAGAAATTTGTAATAATAACACAACGTCTTTTGTCACGGATGTTATAATAGCCGACTTAAAACGTTAACGTAGGTCACCGGTGGCCTACGTTAACTGAAGATTTTCCTTCAACAGTTTTCAGTCGGCAGTCAAAGGCTTACATAGATAGAGTTGGGATGCGAAAAATATAAGTATTTCTTCAAATAAAAGTTCTGAAAACAAATAACTGAGTTTGTCTTCTTAATCACTTAACTCACGAGTGAGTGACAGTTGATTTATAAATTACTAGAATTTAGATTTTCCATGATAATGTTAGCGTGACTGGAATATCAATAAAATCTCTGTTTGCTCACTGACTTGATGGATATGATGATATTTACTGAATCTTATAAAAACAGAGTAGAGAGATGATATTTGAATCGTGAACTTATTAAATATTTTACCTTTAACGACATTTTGATAGAGTTAGACTTTTGATTTACCTCGTTCGTTTCATTTGTTGTAAAGATATATTTATTTTGTCAAATTCATTAAAAAACTTATAAACGTGATCAAATCAGCCACTAAACGTCCACTACTAAACATTACCCTTGTAAATACTTCCTCAAGAAAGACATAAATACTCCTTATGCATTTAATCTGTTTACTTTACGTGATTCTGATATCTTTTTGAATGTTTAAACACATTAACGACTGTATTTCATAATGTTATATTGGAAAATTATTAATACAAATAATACAATTATTTCCCTGAAAAAGATCTTTAAAGATATTTTGTTTTAATAAAGCCACAATTAATAAGACAATATAATCATAATGTTTATTCAACAATATTAATATGCACATATAAAGAGTTAATTAGGCGCCACTATTGTCTAAAATTTTAAAGTATAAATAAATTTCATAAATAATTTTATTGCTTGAATAAATCGATTGTTTTTTTTACAATTTTGTATAACAATTGGATAATGCAAGGATTTTAGGATCATAAAACCAATATAATAATGAATCTATAATGAACCTACTGTTAGTATTTTTACTTGGGCTACCAGATGAACAATTTGGTAGCGCCATCAAGATACAAGTAAAAGATTAAGAAAAATAATTTTGTTCATTGGGACATTGGATTTGAAGTAAGCAAATGGTATTGAGGGGACTCCGGATCAGTTTTATTATATAGGGCTCGGTGCCCCCTGTAGGTAAAATTCCTCGCTTCCTAGTTTACCCCGCCCCCCAAAAGATTCGCTTCCGAAAATACGCTCTTTAAGTAATACAAGCAT